TAAGAATTGTGTATGAGTTTCCTGTGGACCATTTTAAAAAGTGAAGAAAGTATTAAGGCTTAAATCAATTTCAGAAGCCTAAAATCAAGATGCTGGCAGGGCCATGCTCCCTCTGAAATCTGTAGGAGAAAATCATTCTTTGTCTCTTCCTAGCCTCTGATGCTTTGCTGGAAACCTATGGTGGCAGCTGAAGCACTTCAGTCTCCGCCTCCATAGTCAAACCGTCCATATTTTCACATAGCATTCTCCGTGTCTCTTCTCTCCTTATAAGGATACCTACTCCAGCCAGGCCCACATGACTCAGTGGTTGAGCATCGACCTATGAACCAGGAGGTCACGGTTCAGACCTGGTCAGGGCACATGCCTGGGTTGCGGGCTTGATCCCCCATGTGGGGCGTGCAGGAGGCAGCCGATCAATGATTCTCTGTCATCATCGATGTTTCTCTCTCTCCCTCTCCCTTCCTCTCTGAAATCAATACAAATATATTTTTTAAAAAGGATACCTACTCCAGTATGACCTCATGTTAACTTACAGCTTAATTACTATAACTTCAAAGACCCTACTTCCAAATAAGATCACATTCACAGGTACCAGGGATCAGGATTCAACATATCTTTGTTGAGGACACATTAAACCCCCACCTTAGAGATTAACCATTCCCTCCAAATCACTTCTACTCTCCCTTCCACATATGCACATCACCCAAACTTGCCTCCCTTTCCTCTCCAAAACCTCTATCCCATCTCTTTCCTTACTTATGTAAGAGTCCTTACAGCAGTGGGTGAGAAGTGCAACCTCCCATAGTTTGGAGTTAGAACAGGACTGTTTCTACAGCCTAGAAGTTTCCAAGGAAAGGACATTTTTGTTCCAGTTGCTACGATTCCCCCCAAAAGAAAAAAATATATGCTATGGGGAAATCCAAATGAGAAATCTCGATGCAGTTTTGTGTTTGTTTGTTTTTTGTAGAAGAATTATTATAAATTGTGGTGAAAGTCTTTAAGTCCATTAAAATAAAGGTTAAATAAGATGCTACTGGTTGGCATACCAATCAAAACATCACAAATAGCATTGTTTATAGAGGAAACTGCATCCAGTGTCAAACAATAATCTTGCAAAGGAACCTGAGGAATATATGTATTTGTAAGTAAGGGACCACCTATATTTGTAAAAAAATTGCTAACAAAATAGCACAGCAATGATGCAAATGCTCCTCCTCCGTGGAGGCATCTTCAAGTGGAGGTTGAAGAGTTTCAGATAACTGATGAGGAGAAAAAGCCATCTCAGTATTTCTCACACTCCAGTCTATGTGTTCTGAGAAATTTTGAAATTCTGTATTTTTATTTTGATAAAATTTTAAAATGTATGCCCTAGCCAGTTTTGCTCAGTGGATAGAATGTTGGCCCATGAACTGAAGGGTCCCGGGTTCAATTCTGGTCAAGGGCACATACTTGGGCTGCAGGCTCGATCCCTGGCCCTGGTCAGGGTGCATGCGGGAGGCAACCAATCAATGTCTCTCTCTCCCATCGATGTTTCTCTGTCTCTCCCTTCCACTTTCTCTAAAAAAATCAACGGAAAAATATCCTTGGGTGAGGATTAAAAAAAAAAAATTAAGCCTGGCCAGTGTTGCTCAGTGGTTGAGTGTCAACCTATGAATCAGGAGGTTGGGGTTCGATTCTCAGTCAGGGCACATGCCCAGGTTGCGGGTTTGATCCCCAGTGTGGGGCATGCAGGAGCCAACGGATTGATGATTCTCTCTCATCATTGATGTATGTCTCTCCCTCTCTGAAATCAATAAAAAATATTTTTTAAAAATTTAAAGATGTATATGAATATTCTGGATCACTGACTTGTATACCTTATAAATGAGTGATGGCACACAACGCAGTGCTCCATTTGCATTATGAGGTCCCTAAAATGACAATGCTTAATTTTTAATGCAATGGAAGCATGTCTGGCAGCTCTTAGGTTGGCATATCCTAAAATCATAACAATCATAACTCAAGCACTCTTGAATTTCTGTTGTGCTTTTATAATCAGTTATAAAGATGAAATGTATCTTTCACAGTAACAATTTACAATGGAAAGATATCTGCACTGAAAAAACTTAAGAATTGAGACTTTCAGCCGACATTCGGAAAATGACAATGTGGCAGAATAACAAGGACAGGTATGTTTTCTCAGGCTAAGGAGAAAATACTATAATACTCCAAGATGTGCTTGTACAAAGTGGAAACCAAATGGTACAATAATGTGCTATATAAATAAAGGCTGTCCACCTGTCCAAACAGAAAAAAAGGGGAAGGATTAACTCATTACATATCACATGGTAATGATTAACCCAAAATAAAAAGTATTCTATATCATTATTTATATTATTGCAAGGGGATTGATCTATTATGGAATGGTCCACATTTGATTAATGAGAAGGTTTAGGGCTATGTCTAATGGCCTCATATAAAGAAGGTCTTGTGTAAGTTAAGTAATTTGAATTGGATCAAGTAGTTTTTCTATTTCAATTCAACACATATGTTCTGAAGGTTTACTATGTGGCAGTCAATGTAGTAGACACAATATGAAGACCACTAAAAAAAAGACCTCTACACTCAAGGGAGCCATAGTACAATGGGGAAGATAGACAAATCAATACAATAAAATGTAATCTACACTAATAAAAGAGAAAGATGCAAATTGACTGTACCTTTGTGACACCCACCAGCCAATCAGGAGTGAGTATGCAAATTAACCCAACAAAGATGGTAGGTTAATTTGCATACATAGCCGCTGAGCGGCCAGGGGTGGGGCAGGACGCTTGCGTCTGCCATGATGACAACGCAGGCATTCTACACGGCCCTAGCCGCTCTGGGCCTCTGGAGATTTCTGAAAAATCTGTTTTTATCACACCTTGACTAAGAAAAAAAGAATGCAGGTGTCAGTCTACGTATTAGGAAATTTCTCAGTATACTGTTACAACTATTTCTCTTCGAGAGGGAGGTCAAATTGTCTATTTTATCTTCACTAGGTTCTCAGTGTCCAGCACAGTGCCTGGCATATACTATTCCCTGAAGTATTTTGGACACTAAGCATGATTTGGTTTTAAATATATTATATCCCTAGCTGGTTTGGCTCAGTGGATAGAGTGTCGGCCTGAGGACTGAAGGGTCCCAAGTTCAATTCCAGTCAAGGGCATGTACCTCAGTTGCAGGCTCAATCCCTGGCCCTATCCAGTCCAGGTGCCTGGGAGGCAACCAATCGATGTGTCTCTCTCCAATCAATGTTTCTCTCTCTCTGTCTCTCCTCATCCCTTCCACTCTCTCTAAAAATCAATGGGAGCCCTGGCCTGTTTGGCTCAATGGATAGAGCATCGGCCAGTGAACTGAAGGGTCGCAGGCTTGATTCCAGTCAAGGGCACATGCCCGGGTTGTGGGATCAATCCCCAGTGTGGGGTGTGCAGGAGGCAGCTGATCGATGTTTCTCTCTCATCGATGTTTCTAACTCTCTCTCTCTCTCCCTCTCCCTTACTCTCTGAAATCAATAAAAATATATTATATAAAAAAATCAATGGGAAAAAATATACTATAAATGATAGATAACTTTATTAGTAGGATCTGGCAAAAAGAATGTTTCAGTTACCAACTATCTCGCTAAGTAAGATAAAGCAATTGATCTGAGAATAATCCACCCCCCAACTCTTTTGTCTGGGTCTGAGGCGGAAACAAACCAACGACAGATAAACCACCAATTCTGATGTAATAACCTTGGAGGAGACAGAAGAGTGAAGAACAGACGTTGATATGAGAGAGGAAAAGAAGAAGTGTTTATGAAAAGCCTTAAGTCTAGTCATAGCTCAAGACTGTTCTTGTTGGTATTATAAATATTCTTTTTGGGTGATGCTCTTGGACCCAACCCAATCGCTTTGACTTTTTCAGAACAGTAGCCTACCTTGTCAAGTCAACCACTTGTTTTATGTTACACTGACTAACACTGCCACCATATAACATGATCTTAATTATTCCTCTTTGTTCCCAAACATGTAAGCTACTGAGAGTAGCGATCTCCTATGTCTTGTTTCCAGCTATATCCCTTGCACTTAGAAGAGTGTCTAACACAGAATAGCTGTTCAAGAAGTGCTCTCAGACACAGCTATTCAGAGGGAAAGGATGTCCCAAACATGACAGTATCCTCTGGGATCATGGATGGGACAACGGAGGTACAGGTAGTTGAGAAAAATTAATAAGACAGAAAAGGGTTTGACAACTGACTGGGGTGTTTTGAGGGAGGGAGATGTAAAGCATGTACCAGAGGAGCTATTACATGGTCAGAGTTTGTTAAATATTGGCCAATAATAACAACATCATACATGTCTGATGTTGAGAAAACAGTGGGTGGAAATAAGAGCTCCCAACCGAACTGAGGAAGAAGAAGAGTGTCAACACTGCGGGGGTGGAGGACGGGCTCGAGGAGGGCTAGAGACCCCAATAGGAGCCCAGGATGAGGATGAGAAGCAGAAAGTGACGTCATAAAATCAAGGGCGTCAAGAGGAGTTTTCAGAAAACTCAAGAGATGTGGAAAGATTCAATGCCAGCTTAATTAAACTTGTCATCTGTCCCCCTGCTGTATGTGACGCATTCTGACACTCTTTATCTCGCGGCCTTTTCAGTGGCGTAACACTCACTTCGCCAAAACTGTACCCGGCTGACAGAACTGTCGACGACAGAGAAGCCCAAGTCACCCTAGCACTGCCTCCTCTTTCTACCCCGGCACGTCCGGGTCCACATCTCTGCCCTCCCTCCGCTGTCGCTCCCCGCCTTCCGCCGAGCGCCCCGCTCCGTTTACCTGTCCGGACGCCCCCTGAGAGCGCGCGGGCTCCGGACGGTGGGGCGCAGTTCAGCGGAGGGTCTCTAATTCCCGGCTCCCAGAGAAGGCTGGGACCGGACGCCGCCAGCTTCCGGGTACGGAGCCCCGCCCGCGCGCGGCCTCTTGGGAATGTGAGCGCTCCTCCAATAGGAGCTTGTGGAGGGGTGGGGCCTGTGCGTTCCCAGCCGCCGCACTTCCCAGGAGCCACACTGCATTCTGGGAGTGGTAGTGCGGACTGGGTTATATCCCTGGTCTGTCACATGTTCAGTCAATAACTTGCTTGAAGGACGTCAAGCACTATTTCTCCGGGAAAACGAGAGGCTGCGGTGTCACAAAGCGTCTACCAGCATTGAGTGGGCGGGATAAATGAAGAGCCAATCTTGTCCCACCAACTGCCTGCTTAGTCTCAACAGGTAATGTACATACATATAAAGTAGAATTCATTTGGCAGGGACTCCCTCTAATTTACCCACAAAATTTTCTAACCTCTTTGGAACCCCCTGGTGAGGACCTCCTTCCTTTATCCCATTCTTTTGCAATAACAACTACTGCTGCTACTACTGCTCTACTTAAAAATTTTTAAATTGATTTCAGAGAGGAAGGGAGAGGGAGAGAGAGATGGAAACATCAATGATGAGAGAGAATGGGATTGAGCCCACAACCTGGGATCTAACTGGGACCTCTTGGTTCATAGGTCAATGCTCAACCACTGAGCCACCCCCTGGCTGGGCACTATTACTCTACTTTGATCTAAGCTCCCCCATCTGCTTTTACATCCCCATTCCCTTTTGCCAACTCTGAGTCTAGTTCCACTGATGAATCCTTTTGTCTCCTCACTTTTCAATGATTCCCTGCTAATTCGCTTTTTCTTATCAACACTTAAAGGCTGTAAAAGTTTCTCTCATCTAAAATATTCCTCAACCCACACCCTCCAAACCCCTTACACACACAGACTTAAACTTGTGGTCTTTCTCCCACCTCTCCTTTCTAGTCAAAATTCTCAAAACAAACAGACACTTTTCAACCATTATCATATCTCGATTCTGCAGGACTTTGCATAGATTATTCCCTCCTCCTTGAAATCTTAGTTCCAGCTGCTTTAACAAAATACCACAGATCCGAAGGCTTAAACAACAGAAATTTATTCCTCACAGTTTGGGAGGCTAGGAAGTTTCAGACAAGGTGCCAGTATGGTCGGGTTCTGGTGAGGACCTGATTCCCAGCTTGCAGACTGCTGTATTCTTGCTGTATCCTCACAAGGCAGAGAGATATCCTCACTTACACATCTATTACAAGGGCACTAATCCCATTCATGAGGGCTCCACCCTCATGATCTAATTACCTTCAAAGGCCCCACCCCTAAATACCATCATTTGATAATTTGGGCTCAAATATATAAATTTGGATGGGGAGCACAAACATTCACTTCATAGCACCTTCTAGTCGCTTAGCTCTTTCTAAGATGTTGTATTCCCCTGGTTTCTTTCTCACTTCTGTGGCAGTTTCTCATTTTCCTTTGAAATGTTCATGTTCCATAGGATTCTGCCCTAGACTCTTTTCTTTTCTTATTCTTCACACTTTTTTGGGTGATCTTAACTATCACCATTGCTTTAGTTGTCATTATGCTGATTATTCCCACATATAGGAAGACCAGACAGACTCCTGTGAGACTGAAATATCTAATGACAGCTAGGCATCTCTTTCAGGCACCTAAAACTTAATAGTATTCAGTTGGCCTAATACATGTCTACTCTCCCCTCTCCCATAACCTGCTCCTCCTCTAATCCCATTTCAGTGATTGGCACAACCATGCAATCAGTTGCCCACACTAGGAAACTGGGTATCGTTTTACCCCTCACTGTTCACTTCCAATAACCTGCCGGGAGCCAGCCCATCCTTGCTGTTTCAAGGGACCTGGCATATATGGCATACTGTTCTTAATATTTTTGCTCACCTTCTTGGCACTATGTGTTTTAACCAAGGTCACCTCTCTGAGAAAGGTTGTTTCTCCAGGTAGGGATTTTCCCCTGAAGTTGTAAACCAAGGATGTGAATCAATATACATATTTTTGAATATATATCTTCTTTTGGGTTTTGCCAGTGATCTTTTTGTTAAAATATCACCCCACCCTCCTCAAAATTAAGAATGTTTCTGGTAAATAGCTTACTATAATTTGGTGATTTCCATTGCTTTGCTTGTTCAGTTAAATTATTATGGATTGTTTCTTAAAAAGAACAACACAGTCGTGAGATGGGGAATTAGAGCTGTGGCATTTGATTAAATGTGTTCATAGGGGAAAATATGCTAAGAAGGCATTAGAATGTCCCCTGTATGCCAAAAAGTCCATTAGCCTGGTAAGCTGTACAGAGGGAGGTAACTCAAGGGAATATCCTAAGGTGGAAGGTATTGGATAACAAGAAAACAAATAAGAGAGAACCGTGTCATTCCTTCTTTGCTGACTCCGTCCACACCTTTGGGGACCCTGGACCTGCTGGGGTTGGACCCCAGCAATAACCAAGTCATTAATTCTATTTCCTAAATATTTTACTTTCAAGATTCAGTTTTCTTATCTTTATAATGTGGTTGAGTGTCGACCTATGAACAGGAGGTCATGGTTCTATTCCCGGTCAGGGCACATGTCCAGGTTTCGGGCTCCATCCCCAGTGTGGGGCATGCAGGAGGCAGCCAAACAATGATTCTCTCTCATCATTGATGTTTCTATCTCTCTCTCCGTCTCCCTTCCTGTCTGCAATCAATAAAAAAACAAATAAATAAAATGAGGAAAATAATGGTGTCTATGTCCAAGGATTATGGAAATGCTTAATAAGCAGTCATGACAGGCAGAGGGTAAGCACTCAAGGATAAGTATTTATTAAACAAGCATTGTGTTTGCCATTAGTTCTCCTTCATTAGATCTTAATAATGATCGCCAGCATTTACTTTTATGTAGTTTATATTTAGCGATAAATAAAAGGGGGAAAAACAAAAAATGGTGAGATAGTTTGTGCAAGTTACTATCCCCACTCCATTCCCCAGTTTTTTCCAAGCATGACACAATAGAGTACTGATTATGAGGCACTATGCCCATGGTTCTAGTCTAACGTGTACAGGATATACTATATCTTAGTTATTGTTACAAGCTCTGGATGAGCTATCAAGAAACAAAAGTACATTCGGAGAATCATGACTAAAATGATCTGGACACTAGAAATCAGAATTAATGTCTCTGTGCCTATTGTATCTTCTTCACCACCCGCTCTTCTCACTTGAGATTACATCTAAAACAAAATCTCTTCACTTCAAAATCCTCCTTAAAACTTTCATTGCCTCCCTGTTATATAGGGGATAAAGTCCAAGATGAAGGCTTCCATGAACTGACCTCTCTCTATCTCTCCTGCTTTATATTCTGCTTCTCTCACCAACACATCCTGTGTTCAAGTTTGCTCCTGTATTATGGTATTCACTCATCCATCCATTCATCCACCCATTCATACATTCCTTCAACAAATGTACACTAAGTACCTACTGTGAGCCAGCCTTGTTCTGGACACTGGAGATAAACAGTGAATGAGAAAGACAATGTCCTTGCCTATATATAGAGTTAGCACCTCATTACCATGCTCTTCCATGCCTCAGTGCCTTTGCACATGCTGTCTCCCCTGTCTAAATCTTATTTATTCTTCAAGACCTAGCTCAAATATCACATCTTCATTTTCTAGCAAAGTATATGCTTTTCTCAACTTTATCCACCCTCTGCAAAGGCTTTTAATATTAATATTAGTTTTTATTAAATACCGATTCTTTGAGAGATAGCATAATATCTTAGAAAGAGAATGAGCTTTAGAGCCTAAATTATTCCACACAAAGGAGTTCATCACCACCAAATCAGCATTATATGAAATGCTGAAAGGTATTCTTTAAGAAGAGGAAGAAGAAAAAGGAACTCTTACCATTTGCCACAACATGGATGGAACTGGAGAGCAGATAAATACCACATGAACTCACTCATTTGTGGAATATAAGGAACAACATAAACCGATGAACAAGGACTGATCCAAAGACGGAGAGGCATTGATTGGACTATCGGGCTTAAGGGGGGAAGATCAACCAAAGGACTTACATGCAGGCATATAGGCCTAACCAATGGACACGGACAACGGGGGGGAGGGCAAATGAGCGGGGGGGGGTAGAGGGTAACGTGGGGACAAGGACACATATATATGTAATATCTTAATCAATAAAAAATATATTAAAAAATTATTCCACATTGTCTCCTAAAGTAATATCATCTATGTTCTAAAACTTGTATATCTATCATAAACCTTTATATTGGGAAATCAGAGAAGGTATCTCTGAGGTGGGGGGGCATTTAGGTTGAAACCTGAATGTCAAGGAAGAATAAGCCACAAGAAGATGAGAGGGATCAGAAATAAAGCCAGCATGACTGATGGGAGTGGAAGTAAGGGGAGAATGGTAGGAGAGGAGATCACACTAGCCTTGTTTCTGCTCCTCAGAAATGTCAAGCTCCTCCCTATCTTATGATCTTTGCACCAGTTCTCTCTTCTTGGAGTTCTGTTCCCTCTCATCTTCTTGTGGCCAGAGGGTCTTGCAAGGCTATGAAAGCTAGGATAATACGTTTGGGTTTTATTCTAAGTGTAATGGGAAATAATTAAGAGAGGTTCAAGCAAAGGAGTGATATGATCTGATATCTGGGTTTAAAAAATTATCAGGCTTGGAGAAACTAAGATGGCGGCAGAGATAAACACCGGGAAGTTAATGCCGCTCACAACAATTGATTAATACCTCAGAGAAACAACACGGACTTCATCCAGAACCACAGGAAGCCTGGCTGACTGTAAACTCTACAACTAGAAGGAAGGAAAGGCACACTGAGACCCGCAGAAGCTGCAGGAGAGAAGCACAGAGGTACGGGGCTCT